TGGGACTCCTCAGCAGTGCACATTCACGATCCCGCCTCACAAGATTCCAAACCAGGATCTATCAGTCTCGCGTGCGAGCGCCTAACAACTGGACAACTGAGCCGGCATCCGATGATGTTAATGTCTTACTTCAACCAATCCATAAAATTGGGCAACTTATTTTTTGTTTGATTTATAAAAAACATCTTTTTATCTATTAAATATTTCGTTCAGATTAGCTTCTTTTACGGAAGAATTTCGTCAGTAAGTGAATCTATTAAATGACTACTGCATTTGATAAATGTTCTACTTCAAGTTATTTCATTTTGAATAGATTTATATCAAATAACACAGATTTAATCCACCTTGTGATCTATATTACTAACTTACTTAAGTAGTATCTATCATTCGATAACCAAACTGATGATAATGGAAACGCTACAGCTTTTCTACTAACTATTTAAGAGTATTTTGTGATTTACATGTTTATTTACTCATATTGAAACGTAAAACATCGTGTTTTTGGAAATCATCTAAGAATCAAACTGTAGAATTAAACCCTTTGAAATTTCTCGACAAAACAGTTTTTGATGTAGTTCTAAAATTGTTTGTGCTTGAGTCTTTGAACAGTAACTTGTTGATATTACTCTAAGTGTATAACGATAAACTAAAGCTAAGATGCTCATTTATTGGGTGATTTGAACTGTCTTGGGGATTATCTAACTCTGTAAGGTATATTTGTCTGTGCTGATCTCAATCGGGGTACCATTAGAATTCGGGATATGTTGAACAATTGTTGTCGTCCCAGCATTAGGCACCCATGATTCCTCCAGGAATCAAATCTAGAAATGTCAAGTTTCTCAGAAAATGCATAGCTTTGAATATCATTGAATCAACCGTTTCGTGGCTTTGTACTACTGAGAAGTTTCATACTGGGACGTAACGGTAGTCCAGTGTTCCCTGATCTTTAATGGTACTCTAACTGGGACTATTCTTTGACGAATACAGTCTACGGAATAAGTGCATGCATTCATAATTTTATTGTATAATGTCTCTCATTTTAGATAATCTTTCACATTGCCTGTTAGCAGTTAGTAAGTTGAGGTCACTTAGTTAAGATAATTAATCTGTTATCTTATTAATAAATGTCAGATTAACTTATAGTAACAATCTAGTTGTTTTTCAGAAATGTCAAAATAGTTTTATCCTTTTTGATTTATAATTAGATGGTTGTATTAGGAAAAATATTCACTTTCATGGTTGTTCTTTTGATTTTGGTCAGTTTTCCTGAAATAGTATTGTTTATTGTACAGTCAGTCAGTCAGTTACAAAGTAGAACTTCGTACGTACGTACATCAGTTCGAGTTGCCATACCACATTACAACAGAGATGACGTTGTCGATTCAAATCTCATATTGGTAGAAGTAGTAAGAGTATAAGCAGTAATTGAAAAGATTAGGGTTTGAAAATGTTATTCAAGAAATATAATACGGTGAAATAAATTTGGAAAGAGAAAAAGTATACGGACATGAAGAATTCAGAAGATTAGAATTTGGGAGAACACAAAGAGTTGATGCATCTTCGCCATTGCAAACGATTTTGAGCCATGTCATTCAAGGTCTCTAACCATAGGTTGCTATCATCTCGCGAATCCCAACCAGGTAGTCTACACCTACCAACATGGCCTAGTCCACTTTTCAGCGACTTCATGGATTTGTGCCACATTTTTGTGTTGCCACCCATAGCTTTCTTCCAACCTACTCCTACACCATAAAGCATTACACGTCGGGGCAGTCGGTGGTTGGGCATACGTAACACATTTCCCAGCCATCTCAAATGATGAAGTTTCACTGCTTCATCAATCGATTTGCCATCCTTACCTAGTACCCGTTTCCTAACATCTGCATTACTTACCCGGTGGTCCCAGGATATACGAGCAATGCATCGAAGACACCTATGATCGAACACTAGTAGCCTACGAATATCCTCTACTCTTATCGGCCATGTTTCACTGCCATAAAGTAGGACGGAACGAACTGCTGCACAGTAACCCCGTCTTTGGTTGCTAGACGGATATCTCGCCTACGCCATAAATGACGCAAGTTGGCGAAAGCTAGACGAGCCTTCTGTATCCGTGATGAGATTTCGTCACACACCAGACCACAAGGGCTGATGAGACTCACAATATAAGTGAAGTGGTCAACACGCTCAACTACTTCACTCCCTATCATTAGTTCAGGTGTCGATGCAACCCAATCCTGAAGTAACGTTTTACACTTCGGGGGAGAGAATCGCATTCCGAACATGCCTGCATAGTTGCTTATGGTGGTCAGAAGACTCTGCATTTTGTCAGCGTCTTCACCAAATAAAACTACGTCGTCGGCGTATTCTAAGTCAACAAATGAGCCTCCTGGTAAAAGTTCAACTCCAGGAGATTGAAATGATGAAAGTGATATCTCTAAAAGCATGTCAACGACGAAGTTAAGTAAGAATGGGGAGAGTGAACAGCCCTGACGAACACCACTTGAGGTAACCAATTCTGATGACAGTTCTCCATAGGCTCTAACTCGACCAGTTGTGTTCGAGTAGAGAGCCTGTATGAGGTTAATGTACTTCTTTGGTACTCCTTTCAGTGACAAACACTGCCACAGAACCTCACGATCAACGGAGTCAAATGCCGCCTTAAGGTCAAGAAATACTACTATTGTGAGACGTCTGGATGTATGTCTATATTCTAGGACCTGACGTAAAGTGAATATCTGGTCTATGCAACCACGTCCAGGTCGGAAACCAGCCTGGTTTTCTCTAGTCTGCTCTTCACGATCTTTGGTTAGGCGTCCAAATATTATTGAAGCTAATATTTTAGACACTATATTAGTCAAACTGATTCCTCTGTGATTGTCACAGAGGGACTATTGTCCTTTCTTATAGACTGGCACAATCAGTGGTTGAGACCAGTCAGATGGAATTACATCCAGTTCCCAGATTCTACCTAAGACTTCAGTCAATCTCGTTGCTAGTACTGGATCATCATCCTTAAAAATCTCAGGGGTGAATCTGTCAGGGCCTGCTGCTCTCCCTCGCTTTAGATTTTCTATAGCTTTTTCAACTTCGCAGAGAGTTGGAGGACTTACCTCAATTTGCCATTCAGGACTACTGGGGATCGTGGGTAACTGAAGTATGGCTGAAGGCCAGTTGAACTGATCCCTAAAGTGTTCTGCCCATCGATCCAATCTCCTGGATTGGGAATGAATGATATGCCCATCTTTGTCTGAGATAGTTTCGCTAATAGTTAGTTCCTAATGCCGGTTTCTTTAATAAATCTGAATAGCTGTCTGATGTTACCTATTGTCGCTGCCTTTTCCATCTCTCTTGCTTTCGCTACCTACCAATTATTACGTAGGCTTCTTATAAGCCTGCGCTTAAGCTGACTCCACTCTTCGTTATGTTCAGAGCCAGGTGTGATGAGTTCTCGAGCATCTATCAGTGTGGTAGATGCTGCCGAGATCCGTTGTTTCTCCCTGACCTTATGGCTTACCTTACTAGCCGGGATTGTTTATTGTACACAGATTTTTTAATAATACCTACGTTTATCTAGTAATATGCGTTCATCTTTCCGATTCGGGGTCGCTGAGATTGTTGAATTTTATTAAGATCCCTAACTGACCGAAGTTATGCAATGTTTGAGGACTGGAGGCATTAGATGACCGTTTCATTCTAGTACAGGAGTCCTCAGCAGTGCGCATCCATCATACAATGCGTAGTAATGCAACACAGAACCTTCAATCTGGCGTGTGAATACTTAATATCTAGACCTCTAAACTTCAATCGAATGTTGTGACAATTTGACTTCAATCAACCCATGATATTGGACGACAATCTCCTATTGTATTGGGTAGTTATATTGGTTACACGTGAAATGGATTAGCTTCACTTGTTACAGTTTTTTTTACTAGAACTCCTTAATTTCCCTCTCGAAGCTAGTCACAAATGAGTATATAATCTTTTTCGGTACAGGATTGTCTAATTTTGATCGGTTGATCAGTTCAATAATATATATATATATATATATATATATATATATATAAATGTTGGTGTATTAATGTGAGATAAAATCGATTTATTCATGGTTATCTCTTAAACACGTCATGGTCTTACACTAGGATATTATTGAAGAAACGTTACAAATGGAGGTTTTGAATTTCATGTAATACTTAAATTCTTTTTCCGTGCATAGAATCATATACTTGCTTTTGGTTCACAGTTTTTCAAGTGTTATTAGTACGAAAGATGCTTTAAAACTAATGAAAATAAAGTGTGATTTACAAATCGTTTATTTAATGGCTATAAATAAAGTACCGTAACTAGTGAAACAGAGTTGAAAGTTCCTGTTTTATTTCCAGTCGTTGGTAAGACTTATCTGATGCGTTAAAAAAGAACAACTAATGATCTGTTGAGAATTAAGAAATAATCACTTAGCAGATAAAAGCTATTATTATTATTATCTTACTTTGAGATTTTCTAGTCATTTGTAAATCTAGTGTCTTTTTAAGCAAAGATTGATAGTGGCTGGTAGTGGAATCCAGGACGCGTATTTCGTTCTATTTGAAACTCGTCAGATGGATGTACCTGCATCTCAGAGTTGATGTTCACTCTGAGACTCGAACCCAGTACTTTTCACTTCAAATACCAACGTGCATCAAACTGGATTCCACTGCTAGCCACTATCCATCTTTACTTATAATACTTGTGAATTAAGGCTATATCGAGCCAATACGCACAGTATGCACATATGCCAACAAGCGACTGATTAATTGCAGTCACAAAACATCAATTGAAAGATTCAACCAAACAATACCAAATGAATCTAGTGCCTTTTGATTGTACTAATGATTAAAACTTGGGTTGTACGTGGTTATGCTGCATTAATATTGTTTTCCGTATCACTACCTTCATTTAATTTATGAATAAATAGACTAATAATTCACTTCTATTTTCCTAAATATTATTCTATTTAACAGATACCAAAACTATTTGATTTATTCGGGAAGAATGGTGGAGCCTCATCATGTAAGTTAACATTTATTTAACCTTTTTTCCATTGATTATCCTATTATTTTAATTTGTTGAATAAATATGTATAGATTTATATATTTTGATGTAGGTTTGTTCTGTGAGCTGCATGGTTTGGTCGTGGAGCTTTCAGCGCCCTTCTGAACGACATCATCAACACAAACTTCGGGTAGAAGTGAAGTGTTTGTATTTCTCCTCATGTGATTCACAGCTTGTCCTGTGCACCTCGATATTGATTGGTTTTTATTGACCTTAAATCTGTCAAACTATCCAGCTCAGAGATCATACCTACATCAAAATCACCCACCTGAGCTACAAATCTCCACTATCTCAAGTTTTATATATTACTAATGTACTATCAAACATTCTCTTCATATTTTGTTGTCAAGAGTGGAGTATCAATTAACATGATAAATATTAACGATACATAATTGAAGTAGAATGTTGGAGTTATCCGCAACTCTTTCTTATAAATATATTCAGTACAGCACAACTCAATATGTTAGGTGAGAAACAAAAGTCTTTGATGAAAATCACAGTTCAATTTGTACGGATGAAATGTAACGGAAAGTGTTGGCTATAACACAATGAATATTGATGACTCTTTAGATATATCTCAGATGAGTTTTCACTATAGCACAATTCGATGTGTTGAGTGAAAAACAAACAAACACAAAGTTCAGGGCTTTTAATGAAATCTTTGATGAAAATCACATTTCAATATGTACAGATAAAACATAACGGAAAGTGTTTTTGCTACAACATAGTTAATATTGAAGACTCTGTAAATAGGTCACACTTGAGTTTGTACTGTAGTAGAGTAAAAATTTAATTAAAAAGAAAACAAGTCTCCCTCCATTTTATTTAATAAGTATAATAAAAATAAATTGGAGCGAATAATTTCACAGTATTCGGGCGCCGAGTTGATGTAAGACATTAAAATAGGAATAATATATGTTTGTAAAATCTCAGCGAATGAATTTCAAGTAAATTCAACGTTTCACCTGAACAATCTGGTCAAAGCTTTTTCATGGAAATATAATCAAACATCAAAATTATTGAATATAAATAGGTACATAGTTCTCGAGGTTCATTATATACTGAATAGATAATCCAATCAGCGTCAAACATGTCTTAACTAGGTATATATATAGCTAGTTTAGACCAGATTGCCAGGCGAAACGTTAGATTTACTTCAAATTCATTCACTGATATTTTAGAAATACATATTTTTCCTATTTAATGTCTTACATCAACTCGGCGCTCAAATACTATGAAACTATTCGCTCTAATTTAGACGGAAGTTCTCATATAAATAATGTTTTGCCTGGCAATCTAGTAGGTATATATACATACCTAGTTTATATATTTTTAACACTGATTTGGATGATCTATTCAGTATACAATGAACCCCAAGAACCATTTACCTATTTATATTCGATAATTTTGATGTTTAATTATATTTCCTTGAAAAAGTATGGACCAGATTGTCCAGGTGAACACATTGGATTTACTTCAAATTCATTCGCTCAGATTTTACAGAATATATTCTTCCTATTTTATGTCATAAATAAATTTTTGAAGTTAGACATTAACACCGTTGGATGTTAGCTCAGTGGTCTATCGGCTAAGTGCTCCGGAGCGAGACTAGTAGGTCCTGGATTGGAATCTTGCGAGGCGGAATCGTGGATGCGCACTGTTGAGGAGTCCCGCAATAGGACGAAACGGCCGTCCAATGCTTCCAGGTTTTCCATGGTGGTCTAGCTTCAATAAATCCATGACTTCACGTATGAAAATAAATAAATTTGTTTAGGGAAAAAAAGAGAGAGAACCCAACTTATTCACCCTCATTTATAATAAAGTTCTCTTTACTGATGTTTCCATGGATAAAATGTCGATCATGTAATAATAATAATATTGATAATTGTAAATTAAATCAAATTCAATATAATCTAATTTCTTTTTTTTTTATTATTATCTTATCTGACCCCAGAAAAAAAAGAAAAAAAAGAAGAGATAGGCATCTCTAAGATCAACATCAACACCTTTAAGAATAGGTTCAATGAAAAAAACAACTGATTGAACCCCCCCTTTTTTTTTCTTTTTCGAAATATCCCAATTTCTTGTTTACCTTTTCACCTTGGAATTATTTTGTTTTAATGTAGATAGATAGATATGTAATCTCATATATTAACATGTTTATGGATTGATATACATGTATATGTGATTAATTTGTACTAAATAAGGTATACAATTTAATAAAATACACTTATGTATATATGTGCATATGTTAAGTGTTTGTGTGTGTGTGTGTTGTGGGTATTCATTATGAAAATACATAAGTGAATTACTATGATAACAATGATAGAGCAATTCTTTTACATATCTCATTTTGCACAATAATAAACTACATATATACCCTGATTGTTAATGAGGATCCCTATGTCAGTATGAATCTAATTAATGCATTATGAAAGTTAATATAATTATTATAGTATTATATATGATGGGTAATATTCTGACTTATTGATTATTGAGTCATAATCATTGTCATATTTGTTTAGTCATAAAGAACTTTATGGATGAAATTTGTTTTATGCATAATATTTATGAAATTATATTTGATTGAAGTTAGACATTAACACTGTTGGATGTCGGCTAGCTCAGTGGTCTATTGGTTAAGTGCTGTGGAGCGAAACTGGTAGGTCCTGGGTTCGAATCTTTTGAGGCGGGATCGTGGTTGCGTATTGCTGAAGAGTCCCATAATAGAACGAAACGGCTATCCAATGCTTACAAGTTTTTCATAGTGGTTTAGCTTCAATTGACTAATGATTTCAACTATATATAGAAATTATATTTATTAGGTTAGATAAAGATGATATGAGATTGTTTTATTATATGTTAGTTGAAGATGATCAGTAAAAGAGAAGCTCTAAGTAATTGTTCACTCAAGTTTGCATATTGAATATACTACTAATCATTCATTTATGTGTTTAAGAATTTTATATGAAATAAATACTATGTTAAGATATATTCACATAATTAATGATGACATTTAAATGTTAATTCATTGAAGGTAATCAACAAGAAACCATAAACCTAAGTTTCGTGATAGTTGGCCTTCATTAACTAGGCGGATGTAATTGTAATCTTGTGGGAACTGATGGATCCTGTGGAATTCGAATTCGTCTTATCTATTTTCATATTCTGAGACATTATTATTAAGCTATTTAGGTCATAGCCGTCGTGTTGTATGACTGTACACTGATTTATTACGAGATAGTAGCGCTAAAGACTAAATAAGCATGCTATTGATTACCGTCCAATTATCATTTAATGTAAATAATGAACCGTTTCACAAATCAATCCACCTTATCCGTTCTGGTTCCAACAGTTCGATATTAAGATTAGGCCTTACCCGAAAGATCTACTATTTGAATGAATAATTTCTTGTTGAACGGATCTCTGATAGTCGTACAAGTTTTGTTATAAAGAAATTCAAAATCGATAACACTTTACTAATCTAATTTATAAGCCTATATATGTTAAGCTATAAACCCAAGAAATTCTACTAAGACTAAAAATATACTTTTTCAATGTCTAAATTAAAAACTTGGCTTAACATTGAATTAAAATTGGTCTATTCTATTTAATCATTATGTATTGGAACAATATCTAAGAATCTATTTGATTTCATTTTTAATACCAATTATGTGTGGCTATCAGGATTCAATAACTGAGTGGATAACGCGATGGCGTTTAAAGTGAAATGTACTCAGTTCGAGTTCAAGAGTGAACATATCCAGGAGACGAATCCGAAATAGGACGAAGTGTCGTGCATCCTAGATTCCACTGTCAGCCCCTATCTATCATTGCTTATTCTAAATACAGTTTATATATTTCTCTTTTCAAAGAATATTAAATCACTTTTTAATTCTATATTGCAAAGAAGAAAAATAACAATAATGCATATTTACAAATATATTGCATAAAAAAAAAGTGTAATAATGTTAATAAGAAAAAAAAAGGGGGGGAACAAACTGTTATTCACCTATTGAATTACTAAAGAAAAATATTCCTATACTAAGATTATTTGTCATACTAATACAATGATATTAATAATAATAATAATAATAATAATAGTAAGGATAATAATAGTAGTAGTAAGGATAATAATATAAGTAGTAATAGCTTTCTCTTTATAATTTAACATTGTCAGCGGCTAGGTATTAATCAAAACAAATAAAAATTTTCTATCATTGGACATTGTTCATTCTGTCTTTAAGTCAGTTTAATATATGTTGGGCGGTAAATTTATATCTAGTCAAATAGATATATATTTCGCCATTGTAGCAATATGATTGTTGTTAGGATAAAACATTGAATAATCTTAGCAATTGCTTAGATGATTAGAAATATATATCATGTCTAAAAAAAAGTATGAGCGAAATAGAGTAACAAGGTGTTAATTGTTTTCTTCTTTTATTTTTTGTTTTTGTTTAAGTTCCTTATTCTTCTTCTTTTATACTGTTTATATTTTGATGCACAATTTCTGTTAAAATAGAAATTCTAACAATCTGACATTAACTGTAGTAGTAGTAGTAGTACCACTACTACTTACAAGTAGTACATACTGAAGGAATGTTAAAATGGGAAAACAATTAATTAATTAAATAATACAGAAATCATGGTAAACAACGATGGATAGCGGCTAGCAGTGGAATCCAGGACGCGCGTTTCGTCCCACTTTAGACTCGTCAGATGGATATACCTGCATCTCAGAGTTGATATTCACTCCGAGACACGAACCCGGTACCCTTATCCACTCGGCCATTGAGTCCTGATAGCCACTTGCTTGTGCAATGGGGTGAACTTTAAATTCACTTAGTATTGTATGTTTGAATCTTCTCATTAATATTTTTAGGACTGCAACTGGTCAGTCTCTAATTGGCATATGTGCATACACAAATCTTTTTACTATTCTTATCATGCTATGAATGTTTCTAGTTGATTTTTATTATTAATATTCAGTAATTGAAGAATGATTATGATTGAGTATTTGAAAATATTGACCACTATCAATTAGATATGCCAAGATAGAACTGTGTATTGTTTTTATCTGAAACCTTTATAATACATGAAATTACAATTCAACGTGGATGTAGCTGGTGATATTCTGTAAGATAGGTTAACGAAAGTAATTAGTAGGACATTCTACACAGCCTATGTTGCATTGACTTTCTTGAGTCGACCAGTGATGTCTACTCAAACGAAGGATAAGTTACTTGAGTTGGCCTCCTCTATGTGAATTTATAAGTTCAGCTGCTCCTGTGGAGATAGCTATACAAATTATATACATTAGAATATCCTGACAGTAGTAAATGAGCAAAAGAGAGTAAGGCAGCAGAAATAAATAGCTACGTAATGAAGAAAACACTTGACTAATACATCTTAGGCCTTTTACTCATAATGTTCATCAGTTAGATATACAGCGTATATCTCGACAAGGTTTATGATCATCATACTACTGTCAATGTTATTTCCTTAGAACTTCATTAGTAGTTTGTATTAATATTGAATAAATAATTGATAGTTTTAATCCAATGATAATAAATACTAGCTAGGAAGAGTATTCCTAGCGAATAGGTGAACAATGGTCTACAGATGTACAAAAAGTCAGGATCATTAGTAAATCTCAGGTAAAAACACTTAAGCGATTAAATTAACCAAGATAGTTTCGAGTTATCAAACTTTTTTTTACCATTCAAAGTATCTTATTATCAGTTTCAACTGTTTTGTGTATATTCCATTCAAGAATTTATATATATCCTAGAAACATAGCTTGCATTACTTAAGTACAAATTCGCATAGATATTCGTATGACAGCTTTTAACTTTTATTCCTAATCTACTCTAATTCAGAGTAGTGCATTTAAATGTTTAATCCATTCTATGGTGGGGTAGTACTTCAGTGGTAAAAGGTGTTTGACTTTCAGCCACTAAATCTCTGGTACAAATCTTGTTCTACCTACTTCAATTCGAGAAATGGGATAGTATCATTAGTCCTTACATTCATAGTGTTGCTCATATCCACCTACTTGGTGAGTTAATTTTTAATTCATCTTCATCAGTATAGTTCTTCAACTTCACAAAATAACTTGTAGTTTATCACTTATTTTAAAAAGATATCCATCTTTGCTTACCATACTTGTGAATTTAGGCTATATCGAGGCAATATGCACAGTATCCACATATGCCAATCAGAGACTGACCAGTTGCAGTCCTAACATATCAATGGGAAGATTCAAACAAAACAATACTAAATGAATTTAAACTTCACCCCATTGCACAAGCAAATGGCCATCAAGACTCAGTGGCCGAGTGCATAACGTGATGGCGTCTGAAGCGAAAGGTATTGGGTTCAAGTCCCTGAGTGAATATCAACTCTGAGATGCTGGTATATCCAGCTTACGAGTCCCAAATAGGACTGGACGCGCATCCTGGATTCCACTGCTAGCCACTATCCATCTTTGCTTACTATATTCACTACTGTTCAGTAGTTATTTATTTAAAGAAAACAAAATAACTTTTTAATACGTCCTTTCTATCCATGGCTAGAGATTTCAGATTATTTATTTGATTGTGATTTCTAGACATCACATTGTAAAATCAGTATTTTGTCTTTAATTCTCATTAATACTATTTTCATTTTTCTTAAAAAAACTAAAATGCATCTCTTTTTGCTTTAGTATTTAAAATGCCATTTCCAACTGATCCTCGATTGGCCAGTTATTTTCTACCTGGTTATCCTGCTGCAATCGCGGCTGCTATGGCAGCTGTAAATGCTGCCTCTTATTCATTATCATCTTCACCATGTTTAACAACATGTTCACCATCATCGTCAACATCATCTTCGTTATCATCCATGACTAAATCAACTTCTTCAATATGGAATATGAATCCTGCTGCTGTTGTCGCAGCGGCTGCTGCTGCGGGGACAGCATCTTCTTTCTGGTCAAGTGGTGGAGGCGGTGGTAGTGGTTCATCGTCTACTTCTTCTGGTTATGCAAGTTCTGAAGGTAGTGGAGGTAGTAGTGGTACTAATGGTTCAAATTGGTTACATCATTCAGCAATATCACCAGGTAGTAATAGTAGCATAGGTGGCAATGGAAGCGGGAGTTGTGGTAGTGGTTTTAATTTCTTACAATATCCTTATCCTCGTCAGCATAATTTATTTAACCAGAAACATTATCTACGATCATCAAATGATGGTGATGATTTACTTTCATGTATAAGAAGAGAATCACCAAGCCTTGATCGATCAGTATATTTTTCAAATAACAATAATAATAATAATAACACTAATTTTTCATATACGGAAAATCATCCTATTGACTATAATATATCTGGTCAAATGTCGAGATTTTCTAATTTATACAATGATCCTGTCAGGAATTCAGCAAATTTGGTAAGTATGCCAATATTTATATATATGCTTACTAGTTTTTCGCCTGGTTTTGTGTTGTTGGTGTCTTCTGTTTTTTTTGGGGGGGGGAAGGGGTTCTGATAGTTTGTCTTGTCTTTTTGTATTGTACACTTTGTGTATTTGTTTTTTTTTTTTAAATAAATAATTCAGATGACTAACTTGTTGCAAACTACTGTCTTTTTTTGGCATTATTCTCTTCTTCTTTTTTCGTCCTGTTTAGGTTACTTTAATTTAGATTATTTAAGCAAGACCACACTGTTTACTTAACCTCCTTTTCAGGTACTTCAAAAAGAAGTATCTTAAAATGGTGTGGCCAATTAAGAATTGAAAACTGCGCTTACTCCCGGAACAGCACTTAAGCTTCATACTTTTGATAGCATTGTTAGAATAATTCTACAGTTAATATTGTTCTTAGTTGCTATGAAGTTCAATGAAACGAAGTTTTTTTCTGTAAAAGAAACTACTTCAAATCTGGTAGGGGTACTAGCAATTGTATAAAAATTGTCTGAAATCTAATATACATTCCGTTTATTACTTTACAAGTTTTCATATTACTTCACTTATCGTACGCTTATAAGGCTGAATAATCAGAATCAACAATGTTTCATTGATCGCTTTTTCAGTAGTATAGGTATTACCGATAAGATCATTTGATAAAAACCATTGCTCTTACAATTTTTATATATCTACTTGTCTTGTGGTTAAGTGGCTACCATGAGAATGCATCTCTTCACGATGCTCCACTGCCTTGTGGATCAGACCTTTAGATCAAAGGCTCGGGGTGTGACCCCTGAGAAAAGCAGCTGCTTCGGTTTGGGCAGTATCACAGCCCACACACAAATCAAATGAGATTTGTGCGGCGCATAATTATTCGATGCCCCTTTGTACCAATATTTATGTGTTCAAATAAATAAATGTGGTTAAGTATGTTCCCAATATGTCAACTCAATAAGCATGAAATGTTATCATAATTGCCAATACCTATCATTTTCCAACTCGTTCTGATATTCATTCATTCAACTTATAGAATTACAGAATTAAAAGATGGAGATTTTCAAATGTAAAGTTAGTTTTGATCATAGATTGACATCGACAGACAGAACTATTAAAAGCCTGAAACCACTTTGTAACAGTGTGCGTATTCCATTATTTCACAAAAATCCCAATTCAGAAGATGATGTGTTTTAAGGCACCAAATAAGGATGAACTTAGTGTATTCTCATATATCTCCAACTTCTATCCATTCGTGCTATATAACACGATTATCATTCACTGAATGAATATAAAAGTAATCTTAACATATGCAGAAGTAGATATTGCTTGGAATCAGAAAGGGTTTTTGTAGAGATTTCAGTATTTGCATAGTTGAAATCATGAGTCAATTGAAGTTAGATCACCATGGAAAACCTGGAAGCACTGGAGTTCTAGTGGGAAGCAATCATCAGTGGAGTTCAACCACGTCTGTTGTGAGATAACAACTCACTGAAGGCAATTTGTGAATGGTTGCTCAAACTTCGTGGATTGGTTGAAGTTAGACATTAACACCGTTGGATGCCGGCCGGTTCAGTGGTCTATCAGTTAAGTGCTCTGGCGTGAGACTGGTAAGTCCTGGATTGGAATCTCGCGAGACGGAATCGTAGATGCGCACTGTTGAGGAGTCCCACAATAGGACGAAACGGCCGTCCACTACTTCCAGGTTTTCCATTATGGTCTAGCTTCAATTGACTCATGATGTGAACTATATAATCTTAGTATATATATAAAGTAGAACTTAATCTCATCAAATCGTTCTTTCTTCTTCATGCATGCTATTATATTTGCAAGCATGTTTTATTCCAGAAAAGATGAAGGATATTTATACACCACAATTTTTGATAATAACAATAATACTAACGATAATGGTATGATAGAAGATAAAATTTGTACTATTATTGGAATTTCACACTCCCATCTGAATGTAGTTTTGTTCTTTGAATGAATGTGTAGACTACTAAATGGTGCTCCTTTTTTTTCTTCCTTTTATTTACTCTTTATGTTACTCTTAATGATTGTCATAGTTGCTCGGATTTCATGTTGACACCTGTTTTTCCCTTTGTTAGGAAAATTAATGTAACGCATATGAAGTACAAGTTCTTTCTTGTTGAATTCAATTATTCAGTCTATTTCAATCTATTCATTATTGTATTTATTCTGTGTGTAATATATTTGAAGTCATTTGGAACTAGATGTCATTACTATCATTAGTATTATCACTTCGTTGAATCCAACAAAATAAAACTTGTTGACCTATAAACATGGAGGAAAAGATGTTAAAACGACAAAACAGGTTACACTACCAATAATAGTAATAATAATAATAATAATAATAATAATAATAATAATAATAATAAGTTTATAGGTGTTTTCGATACAGTCACAAAAAATGTGTCAGATTAGCAAACAAACATCCAAGCAAACTCTTGGTATATATCAGAAGGGGGTTTTGTGAAGATCTTAGTAATTTTATATAGTTGAAATCATAAGTCAATTGAAGCTAGAACACCATGGAAAACCTGGAAGCACTGGACGGCCATTTCATCTTATTGTGGGACTCCTCAACAGTACGCATCCACGATCCCACCTCTCGGGATTCGAACCCAGGACTTACCAGTCTCGCGTCAGAGCACTTAATCGATAGACCACTGAGCCAGCTGGCATCCAACGGTGTTAATGTCTAACTTCAACCAATCAACGAAATTGAGCAACCATTCACCAATGTCTTCAGTGAGTTGATATCTCCCAACAGACCTGGTTGAACTCCATTGGTCACGGCTTCTCACTAGAACTCCAGGAAATATCTCTTGAAGTCAGTCACTAGTGAGCATATGATCATTATCAGAAGGGGGTTTTGTGGAGATCTCATCCTTTAGGACGAAACGTCCGTCCAGTACTTCCAGGTTTTCCATAGTGGTCTAGCTTCAATTGACTCATGATGTGAACTATATAATCTTAGTATATATATATATATATATATATATATATATATATATATATATAAAGTAGAACTTAATCTCATCAAATCGTTCTTTCTTCTCCATTCTAACGATATTTATCGGCGTATTTCTTTCTTTTATTGTCCTGTCCATATTTTATATGAAACAAGTTTAATCAATAGAAACCTCAAGATGATTTGATTCAATTCGAACTTACTATTATTTTATCACATACAAATATATCATCATATATGGTCGTCTTATACTTTATACGCCCAACTTACTATTATTATTATTGCGCGAGTACTCAATAATCTTATTATATTCATATTTATTAAAGAATAATCTATACTACTTATTATTTATAGATGACTATAAAGCATTTAAATACAGTTGGAGTATTCTTTCTTTTCCTTCATCATCTTTAAAAGAAGAGGCAATATCAACAATAAAGAATAAGAATAAATAATAACTACGGAATAGGAATAGTCATTAGTTTACTATTCTTTCAAATTAAATAATACATGCGCATACACCAACTTGACATAGTGACCCCGCCTTCTTTTTTTCCCCTCCTCCTTCTCCTTATTTATTTATTATTGTTTGATTTAAATAAAAGAAAGGTGGGAAAAACAAAAAAAGATTCCGAAATGCAGATTTTGAAAAGGGAACAATACTGTAAGGATATATATATATATATAGTAGGTATTTTGATTTGAATTAATTTTATAATGTAGGGATTTATAAGATATTTCATTGAAATTATGAAAGAAACTAAGTTGGGTAATCATTGGAAACCTGAAAGCATTAGATGATTGTTCTGTCCTAATACAGGATTTCTCATCAGTGTACATCTATAATACCGCACGCGGGAAATCGTATTAAGGGCTTTTTGGTCTGGTGAACAATAAGCTGGCATCTAATAGCTTTAATGTCTCTCTTTAATCAATTCACGACAGTGATATTGTTACAGTTGAAATGTAAGTGTTACTTACTGGTTGTCGTTTATATTGTTATTCTAAGTGAAAATCTAAGATATTGAATATACAAAGAATTTCACTCCTGCACTTTCTGACATATATAAACATAAACACTTTTTCAGGGAGTGTTTATGATTGCCTCTTCCATCGGTCTTCAAGGTACGTGGTGGGTGGGCATATGTGAAACGTGTTTCAGCCATGTAATTTGATGAAGAATTAGTACATCTTCAGTCGTTTTACCATCTTTAACTAGTACTCTATTTCTAACACAGGCATTGTTTACTTGGTGGTCCAAAAATACACCAGCAATGTGTCGTAGACACTTATAATCGAATACTAGTAACCTAAAAGTATCCTCTGTTCGTGTGGTCTTGTTTAATGACAGTTAGAACGAGAAAATCCTGAATTTATATTTTACACTAATTTACATCAATAATTTAGGTGTAGTTCCAATCTGCACCGAATAAATACGTTCAGTGGAATTCGAACATGTGAATATGAAAATTATATATCCTTTAGTTTATTGATTTTAAGAAACCAAATGATGTTCGATACTACCATATAAAAGTTTTTTTCAGTTAACGTCATTAGTAGATTTCGACACAGCCTTTGAAGCAAGATTCTGGAAGACTAAACGCTGAAGAGAACTGATGCGAAATAAACTTCTTGCAACTTTTATCGTTAATATTACCAACTTCCCATTTTATGCACACGTTTCATGTCTATATTCAACTGTTTCTTACGATGTATATGTGTGTTTAACTTCCCAATTAATTCAAAGTTATAATATTAATGATGATGATAATGACCGAAGGTCTTAGGTTCGAATCCCACGTGGAGCATCGTGGATCCGTACCGCTGAGGAGTCCCATACTGAAACGAAACAGCCATCCACTTCGTCCACGTTTTAAATAATGTTCTAACATTGATCCACTCATGATCTCAATAAAAAAATATACATTACCTTTGTTGAAATCCAACGAAATTGATAGTAGTAGTAGTAGTAGTAGTAGTAGTAGTAGTAGTAGTA